GTTTATTTCGGTAGGATCTGATTATGACTTTCACTGGAAGTATTTGTCTTGAGAACTTGAGAAATGTGTATATTGCAGTAATAAATGCAACTTGACAGGGGCCTCAACCCAGCCTAGACCAATAAGCATTCCTGTAAGTTCACTATGATATTAGATGGCAGTAGGATTTTGGTTTAGTTTGTCGATGACTGGATACGGCACATAAGAAGTGTACCAAACCACATAGTACGCAGTTTTTTATTAGTATTGAATGGTAATGCAAGAAATTATTGCTGAGAATGACCGTAAAGCTTTAAAGATATGTTAATTGTTTTATACATTTGAAAGTGATATTGTAATTTTATTTATCAAAACATTTGGTGCGACATGCTAGTGAGGCAAAAGAATTATTAAGCACTTGTCAGTATATAAGTTCTGTCTGAGCTGCATATACAATGTGATAAAAACATTTGAAAATATTGCAAATCGTAGTTGCAAACTTCAATCTGGATAGCATTACTTTCAAATAAAGATTACAGATTTGATTATAGTATTTTGGCAGGGAAGATTTCAAAAGTCAAATGATCACATCCTTCAGCTCTGTCTCTGCACTTCAAACCAGTTGTATCCTGAACAATGCCTCACTGCAGGGACAGAAAGTAAATATTTCATTCTCCAGAAGCCAAGTATATCCTGCAGTGCTCCTTCTCCAAACACATTATTCATTTATTTGAAACCCCACCAAGGCTCCCTCTATCTTATATTAAATGCACCTCTGTAGGCTCTGCATATCCTATACCGCTTTATAATGTCTCCTTGTAACATTTAGCATGCTAGATCACTCTTGTCTTTTACGCACAAAATGTGAATCATTAATCTGAGAGTGGGTAGACGACAAATGTTGCACCGTGTGTATTTGGTGAAATATTACTGATCTTTTCATGCAGTTTGCTGACATTTTTCAGCCTAGGCGTGTTTACCTTTAGCTCAAGACATGCAGTAATTTCTCCCTGGCTGCGGCTACATACATAAATGAATAATTTGCACCAGCGCACTCACACTGTACATCGGCTCAATTGCGAGCGTTTTTCTGCAGATCTCATACATCATGCGTCTTTGTAAGAACACACATCTTTAAGATCCATTTCTGGGCTCGCACTAAACGATTTGTGGGCTATGGCCATGGCTTGTGAACGAATATGAAAATACAGAAAGTAATGTTCTCTTTCTTGTGTGTTGGTATAATAAATACTACCCAAACATGAACGCCTAATGCTGATGAAAGTATTGTTTACAGAATGAGTTGTAAAAAATAAGGAGGTTCTTAATAAACTGTATGGATACTGTTGGCATTTGAAGTAAGTATACTGTAGCTGTAATAGTACTGACTTATCCACCCTCGCTGTGTAAAGCAGAGGTTGCCTCACTGTTGCTGTCAGACTGTACAATGAGAACTGCTGTACATGTCATCTAATCTGTAAATAGTAAATAATGCTATCATTCACGATGGTGCCCTGGGGCACACTGACAGAAGGGAGGCAACTACCACCAACTATTCATGCACACACCAGGCTCATTCTTGGCAATGTGGGTGAAGTGTCTTGCACTTTAAAAGATGGCGCCTCGTACGGTCGACATGGCTCTTTGCTGCTCTCTTTTTCTTTTGTTTTTACTTTTTAACTGTGCATCTGGCTGTTCCTACACCCGTGAGGAACTTATGAACATCCGACCCACCGTTCCCATGGACCTATTGCCTGTTTTCTTGGCATCTGCGGCTGATTTAGTTCATGTTCTAGCCAAAAAAGTGTGGGCCCGTAAAAGGGGAAAGCGAGGAGGCCTGCTCGTGCGTCTTAGGAGGAGAGGAGCGCGCACGGCTCTCCCCGGCATTTTTCTCTCCAACGTACGCTCACTGGGCAATAAGATGGACCGAAACTCAGCCTGCTCATGAGAAGAAACAAGGACTTCGCCACATCCTGTGTCCTCTGCTTCACTGAGACCTGGCTAAATGAGCGGATCCCGGACTGCGCTCTGGAGCTGCAGGGCTTTGGGCTGTTTCGCGCGGATCGCCATTGTGCGCTCTCAGGGAAGAGCAGAGGCGGAGGGCTCTGTTTCTACGTCAATACAAACTGGTGTAACGATGTGACAGTGATCTCCAAGCACTGCTCTCCTGCTCTGGAATATCTTTTCATTCATTGTAAACCATATTACTCCCCGCGGGAAATTGTTTCATTCATTCTTGCCTCTGTTTACATACCGCCATGCGCGGACGCGCGCGAGGCTCAGCGCGCACTCGCAGAGCAAGTACTGTGTATGGAACGCTTATACCCGGACTCTCTGATTATTATCCTGGGGGATTTTAATAAGGGAAACTTGAGCCAGGAATTACCCAAATACAGACAGTTTATCAAATGCCCGACCAGAGAGGAGAACACTCTGGATCACTGTTACACCACCGTGCGCGGAGCTTTTCGCGCTGTTCCCAAGCCAGCCCTCGGCTTCTCAGATCACTCCATGATACATCTGGTTCCTGCTTACAGACAGAGACTAAAGCTCTCGAAACCTGCAGTGAGGAGCTCCAAAGTGTGGTCTGATGAAGCTGTGGAAGAGCTGCGCGCATGCATGGAATCTACAGACTGGGACCTTTTCAGAGCTGCCACAGACAGCTTGGATGAATATACGGACACTGTGACGTCATACATCCACTTCTGTGAGGATAGCATCATTCCAACAAGGACCAGGGTCATCTATAACAACGACAAACCCTGGTTCACTGCTAAACTCCGGCAGCTCAGGAAAGCAAAGGAGTCTGCTTTCAGGGAGGGGGACCGCAGCGGCTACAAAGCAGCTAAATATCAGTTCAGGAAAGAACTGAAAGCAGCCAAGTCCCGGCACAGAGAACGACTACAGGAGCAGTTTGGTAACAACGATACTGCTTCTGTCTGGAGGGGCCTACGGGAGATCACCAACTACAAACCCAAAGCCCCCCCCTGTGCTGATGACCACAAGCTAGCTGACGATCTGAACTTATTTTTCAGTCGCTTTGATGCTGCCCCTGACACCTCTCCCTCCCCCACCCCCCACTACTCTAACGACCCACCCATCAGCCCTGCCCCCAGCCTAACAATAGCCGCTAAAGAGATTAAACAACTCTTCCTGAGGCTGCACCCCCGCAAAGCTCCTGGCCCGGACCACGTGTCTCCGGCCACTCTGAGACACTGCGCCAGTGAGCTTACTCCTGTGTTCACGGCCATTTTCAACTCCTCTCTGCAGTCCTGCCATGTCCCGGCCTGCTTCAAATCCTCCATCATTGTCCCCGTCCCGAAGAAGCCCAGGATCACAGGACTCAATGACTACAGACCTGTAGCACTTACGTCTGTCGTCATGAAGTCATTTGAACGCCTGGTTCTCTCCCATCTCAAGTCCCTCACCTCCCCCCTCCTGGACCCCCTGCAGTTCGCCTACAGAGCCAACAGATCTGTAGACGACGCCATTAACCTGGCCCTCCACCACATCCTACAGCACCTGGACTCCCCGGGGACCTACGCCAGGGTCCTGTTCGTGGACTTCAGCTCTGCCTTCAACACAATCCTGCCATCCCTGCTCCAGGACAAGCTCTCCCAGCTCAACGTGCCCGATTCCACCTGCAGGTGGATCACTGACTTCCTGACGGACAGGAAGCAGCGAGTGCGTCTGGGGAAGAATGTCTCGGACTCTCGGATTATAAATACAGGAGCCCCACAGGGCTGTGTTCTTTCTCCCCTGCTCTTCTCCCTGTACACCAACCACTGCACCTCCAGCCACGACTCCGTGAAGCTGATCAAGTTCGCGGACGACACCACCCTCATTGGACTCATCTCCAACAACGATGAGTCCGCCTACAGGAGGGAGGTGGACCGGCTGGTGTCCTGGTGCAGTGGTAACAACCTGGAGCTGAACGCCCAGAAGACAGTGGAGATGATTGTGGACTTCAGGAAGAGCACTGTCCCCCCGCCCCCACCCTCCGTGATGGACTCCCCCATCACCTCTGTGGAGTCCTTCCGTTTCCTGGGCACCACCATCACCCAGGACCTCAAGTGGGAGCCGACCATCAGCTCCCTCATCAAGAAGGCCCAGCAGAGGATGTACTTCCTGCGGCAGCTCAGGAAAGCCAAGCTGCCTGCACAGATGTTGGTGCAGTTCTACACGGCCATCATCGAGTCCATCCTCACCTCCTCCATCACCGTGTGGTTCGCTGGAGCCACAGTCAGGGACAAACAGAGACTACAGCGCATTGTGCGCTCTGCAGAGGAAGTGATCGGCCGCAGCCTTCCATCGCTGCAGGACCTGTACGTCGCCCGAGCTCGAGGCCGGGCTGGTCGTATCACAGCCGACCCCTCTCACCCTGCACATGGACTATTCCAACCACTCCCCTCAGGCAGGAGGCTGCGGTCCATCAGGACTAGAACCTCCCGCCACAAGATCAGTTTCTTCCCCTCTGCTGTTGGACTCTTGAACACTTCTTAACCTGTCCCCCCGCCCTTTATAAAGTCACTTTACTGCCCATCATACGTCACTTTACTTCACTGTACTGCTGTCACCTTACATTGTGTGCACCATGTGCACTTGTATATTGTAAATAGTAACTGTAACTCTATTTTAAATTTAAATTTATTCTTTAGAAGTGTTTTTTATTCTTATTTTTATTATCTCTTTTTGACTGTTGCACTGAGCCAAAGCAATTTCCAAGTCTGTGACCTCCCGTTACTTACGTTGGCAATAAAAATGATTCTGATTCTGATTCTGATTCTGATTCTGCCAAAGAACACAACCACAGTTTGGCACTTCACAGCCGTAGCAGCCCTATTTGGTACCTGGTTGTCCTGGACCTGTCCATGTTTGTGTTCTTTTTCTAAAATGAAAACATTCAAATGAACTGTATATGCAATATTCTTCCCTTTAGATTCATAAATAGTAAATCATACAGTATTTTAGTAACTCTGTAGCCTGTGCTCTAGTGTTCACTGTCACCTTTGTTTTTGCAGCTCAGCAGAGGACTGGTTTTGTGAGTGCCCCCCGCAGTATACAGGGCGTCTGTGTCAGCTGAGCGCGTGTGAACACAGCCCATGTGCTCACGGAGCGACCTGCATCCCCACATCTGCTCTGGAAGCAGTGTGCCTCTGCCCCTACGGACGAGAAGGGCTTCTGTGTGACCAGGGTGAGTGCGACAAAGGGAAAAGCGGGATTTCATCTCTTCTTCGCAAACAGTTGGTGAGAAAAGCCTGGAGCAGCTGGTAAAATGAGGGTCTGTTTTACATTGGAGGTTTTAATGAAACAAAAATATGCTGACAAGACAGAAATGTCCTCCTCCATTTCGAGAATAAGATAATCGCTGCAAAGCTCGCACTGCTGAGCACTCCAAAAAGTCTGTTAGATTCATTTAAGTAAAATCAATCATAACTAACTTCCTTAAATGCGTTTTTATCTTCTATTTTGTTTGCAATTATGATCATTGCATTATTTCATGTAAAAATAATGTCCAGGTCATTTACTTCAATAGCCCAACAGCCTCCTTCCTGTAGCATTTATGTTTTAAAAAACAAATAAAGGTTAAGGTTATACTGTGTTAATGCTTCTGAAACTAGTGAAACCCCACTGTCTCTCTTGCCCTTTTGGTTGTACTCTAAAATTGACCTTCCTCTTTCAACTATTAAATCAAATAACTGTGAGCCTAATTAAATGGGTGTGTTCACAGCAAAGTGTCAATTAAAGTATCTGGACTTTAAAAGGTTATAACTCAAAAACTAAAGTTACTATCACAGAAAAAAAATATTTCAAACAAAGAGATATCAAAGTAGTGTGGATAAAATCAAAAGGAAAAAAATGACAAATACATTTTTGGCAAAATCTTAAACAACTAGATCATTTGATTCTTCTTTGATGCCAGTGACATAGAAATACATGTCATCAGATGAACTCCCACAAGAGTAACTTGGCTAACACAACATAACTGAATCATAAGTAAATTAAAAATGAATCTTTTTTTTTTTTTAAATAATCAATACAAATTTTAATGACCCTTGAAAAATGTGCAATGGACTTGATAGTTTTCCCTGAATCTTTCTCTAAAAATTTAACTTGAGGAAAGAAAATATGGTCTGGTTTCATATCTAATTGGTTGACTATATGAAAGTAATCACTTTGTCTCTACTGTGCATAAAAAAAATAAAAAAACAAATGTGGACATCTAAAAAAAATGTAAACAAAACTTCCACATATGCGCTATACAGATAAACATTACTTACTTACATAGTTAATTTTGTCAAAAGCATCACGTCCGCTACAGAATGAACAGAGCCACTGGAAACTATAGGAAAGAGGTATTTGGATAAATGAAACCCATCATATGTCTTCTGAATATTAAAACACACTCACACTTCTGTACCCTTTAGTGTGAACAAGCCCATTTCACATAACTGAAGTAACTAAACCACTCAAGTTGCCTACTCTAACCACTTCTAAAATACAACTAGCAATATAGAAATAAATAATAAAATGCTTAGACAGAAAAGTTACAGACATTGTGCTCTTTAAAAATATATGAATATATGTATTATTTATTTCTCTGGATCAGGGAAAGCTCAGCACACTGTCTTTCACTGCGCTCTTTGCAACACACACACGCGCACACACACACACACACACGTACACAGACTACCACAAACACACACACACACACGCACACACAGCAGGGGGTGTAGCCCAGAACGACCCATCAGCATGAAACTGACATTTAAAACACCAGGTGAGAACAGTTCAAAGCTGTTCTAACTTATTCACGTCTAAAGTGAAGTATTTGACCCCTCGCGTTTTGCTTTCAGTTTAATTAGCCACGTTTTTTCCCTACTCTCTCTAAATGCATCTTCGCAGAACATATCTTCCCTAACAGAAAGCAGCTTATGTGTAGCAGTGCTCAACTTGTTTTATTTATATAAAATGATCAATGTTTTTTATGCAGCCATTTCAAACCTGGAGTCCTTTCTCTGTGTGGCTTGAAAACGTTTTTTGTAATCTGTAAAGAATATTTCTGAGGAAACGTCCACATTAAGGTGTCATTTTGACATTTTGTGTTTTCTCTACTTTTCAAAGCACTCAAAGCACTTCACATCAAGAAACTGTTCAGCCATTCACAGACACATCCACCAGTGTACGCAGACACTCGGGAAGATGCAGGTTTAGTGTCTTTCCCGAGGATACACAGCAGCATTCACCAACAGGAGCTGGTTGGTTGAGTGGTCAGACGATCTGACCACGATCCTGCTTCTACACTATCCTTCATTTTATTGGACAAAAGTTTAACATCCATATTCTGTCTTAACTTTGGATATCCAGTTACAAGTTTATGTCTGTTTGTAGAAAAGACTATTTTAGTTCTGAACTTTGGGCAAACCCACACTGTTGCAGGTATTTCCAACTCCAGAAATGTGTTCCTTCCCGTCTTTTCAGGTCGAGCAGCAAAGATGGCTCCTTATACATGCACTTGTTGTCATATTGAATTTCACAACTCGGTGCAATGTGTTCCCGAAAGTACTTTTTGTCTTTGTTTTTTTTTTCTGTTTGGCGAAGCCCATTTGTTCACACCTTGTTACACAAAGCCTTTGCAAACCAACACTGTCCATGCTGTGTTACAATATCCGACAACTGGCACGGAAATCCATAGTGAGATAGATGAGATGGCTGAATTTGTACCATCCTGGATTACTGTATATTCATGTACAGTATGACCACAAACCAAATCTTTATAAAGGGTATATTTTATAGTTGTTGTTTTCACACGTTTCCTTATATACGCAGAATGTGCTAAAAGTGCAAGCTGACTGGCTGCAAGGTTTGAAGGTCTTGACCTAATTTTTACAATGAAACCTCTGTAAAGCGCAGATGTTCAGATTCAGACTTATTTTCCATTTGCAGAAACCACATTGGAATAAGGAAAGGCGAGGAAAGGTTTTATTTGAACAGCACAATTAACAAAGGCAACTCAAAGCGTTAAAAAACACACCAGAGCTCCACGGCACCATGTCTCGGCACCATGTTGTCTTGCTGTTGTTTTCAGAGTTTATAATATAGCATACAATGTTGGGAAGAAGGCTTAAGGGGTTCTTTTAATAAGACAAAGAGACTAAAATAGCTAGTACTGCTTTAATTGCAAATCCATCCCGTTGGAGATGTTGCTTATAATCTTGCATTTCTTCAGCGAAATGTGTGTTATTTCCTCAGAAAACATTGTTCCTTTTGTCTCATTCCACTCGATGCAAAAGGAGTCCACCTCTAGTTTATGACCTCCTGTTACTTTAAATAGGAATAAAAATAGTTGTGATTCATTGGGAATGTTGACGAAGAAAATGTCCAAATGTTTTCCCGGATCATTATTTGATAGTGATTAGATTCATAAACCTGCCATATTATTATAATGTCTGAATTTTGATGTACTTTCTACTGGCCAACATCATACATATGCAAAAGGGCCCTGTTCCTTCTGGGAATTAAACTCGGGACCTTTTTGCTGAGAAGCGATAGTGCTAGCTTCTAGGCCGCCAGTTTATATGAACCGACAAGGAAGATGCTGAACTTTGCGATCATGTGAATTTGCCCAGGAATTACAGAAATTAGCTATGAACTGAGTACAAGTCAGTTACCATAGTTACCAGGACAAAAAATGCTTCCAGCTGCTCTCCACCGCAATTTTAAACTATACACTTTTTGGAATGTTATGCTGTCACATGAACGCAACCTATTATTGTACATGTACATCATTTATTTTGCACAGAAATGGCTCTATAGTACATTGAATTGTTGTCTTCAGATTTGAAAAGAATGTTTTTTTGAGTGGAAGAAAAACATTTGAAACCCACTAGAATACATGGAAATGCTGTATATGTTTTTTCTTATTATTTAGAGACAATATTGTGCAGCACTGTGGATGATAGCACAAGCATCTCTTAATAATTTAGCAGCCAAACACGGATGAGGGCAGTTGCGCAGAGAATCTCATACCCCTTTTAGCTGATGCCTGGGGCTGCGCTACATGCAAGGTATTTCTCTGAACTGCATGACGTGTATGTGTGCTTGTATCCCCACTGCCTTTTAAAACAGGTGTGCTATTGTAAATCAGCAGTGGGAAATTTACATTATGTCCCTGGTGTAAAATCAAGAAGATGGCTCTGCTTAGACAGAATACAACGGAGGGTATTACTGAAGCAACCATGCGTGCTGCATAAGTAAAGTTGAGGTTGTAATTGAATCTTGCTACCCTGGTGATTGTTGGGTAAAAAGCAACGTGAGCCTGCCAAAAGAGTCCTTCCCTAACCAGCTTCTAATGAAAATAAAAATGACTGAAGAGGTGATGGTATTTGAAAACAGGTCATCATCTAAAATCATTCACACACAAAAATATTGCATCAACATCTAGTGCTGGCTGTGTAGCACTACTGCCATCTACTGGTAGCATTTCACTCCGATGCCATTTATTCTAAATTGAGGCCACAAAAGCATATGAAAACATAGTTGAGCGAAATTAGTATTAGGGTAATCTTTTCCTCCCTCTTTGGGGGTTTTATCATCTCTTATTCTGTTTTCATTCCTCATATGATTGCTTACAGTACATATAGTACACATGTAATACACATTCTTACATGTATACATACATAAGGAACATTTTACAGAATTCACCATAAGTCAGTACACATCACCTCATGTACATCGTTTACTTTAGATACAGTTGAAGAATAATACTAGTTTGTCTAAACATTTCAATTAATGTGGGGATGTGTGAGTTGAGGCTCCAACATGAATTGTAATGTTATAATGAAAACAATGAAGAAGGGGCAGTTCCAGTTACACTCTGCGTTAAGACAAAAGTCTCAATCAGGGGAGTGAGTCATACATTTGTAGTGTATCTAATTCAAATCTGATAATTGTTTAAGTCAATGTTTTGTCTGAATGAAAAAGATTGGCTTGAGTAGAGAACATGTACACCGCAACAGGAAGCACGTTTTGTATCATTTGTGAAGAATAATTGATAGCTCGTTCACAGAGCAAGTTGAAGTGATTTACAAAGGAAGACAGGAAAGATATAAATGATAAAACATACAGGTGAAAGAAGTCTAAAAACTTACAATATGACACCAATATATGACACAATACAATTGTTTTTAAAACAAGAAAGTTAGAATATATTGAAAATGGACTGTAAGCCATAATCATCAAAATTCTAACAAAGTTTCAGCATATGTCACTTTGTATGTAATGAGTTTGTTCTCTTACTCTGGTTTCACTTCAAGTTGAAATAAATAAACTATTGAGCAAAATTCTAATATTCTGAGTTTCACCTGTATAACCACAGGACCATTCATTCCACGAAAAAATTATTAGTACCACCATATAGTTGTATGTATTGCGTCACCTCTCTGCAGTGACCTCAGAGAGTCTCTAATAGAAAACTCTCTCTTTTCCTTTTTGTCTCCTACAGTTGTCAACATAACGCGCCCCAGATTCAGCGGCAATGACGAGTTTGGATACACCTCCTTCATGGCCTATAGCTTCCTTCCCAGTCTGGCTTTCTTCTACGAGTTCAAACTTGAGTTCATTCTGGCCAATAATTCATCTGCCGTGAAAGACAACCTGATCCTTTATGCTGGATATAAAGGACAAGGTCAGTGCACTCACCCGCAATTTAAATTCCTCTGCTTGGGTTTAAGGTGAGATGCAGCTGGAGATGACTCCCCAGTGGAATTATAGTTGTCAAACTTCATAAAAGTACCCTAAAGAAATGCCACGCCAGTGTGCCCTGCTCACCGTATGCTAATGTGCTGTCTAATAGATTTTCACTGTACTTTTTGATCAGCTCATCAAAAGAGTTCTTTTATATATGATTTTCTCTATCAATAAGATTTTGGTAGATAATGGAATAAAGGAGAAGTACTCAAAATATGTGCTCACAAACAATTCAAAACAATATATAATAGTTCTACTGCTGTAATGTATGTTTACTTTGATATGCCTTAATTTGTCTACCTACTGTGCCACAAAACTTTTCTTACAATAAATTGATTAAAAGAAGTTGAGTAAAATAGCTAGCCACATCTGGATAACGAGGATTCTTTCTGCACTGGACCACTTATCATTTAGCCCTTTTAGTCTGAAAAAGGAATGAGTGCTAATTGCATTAATCAGATGGAGAAAGGCAGATGCACAGAGTTATCTGCTGCTGTCACATCCAATTAAAATCTTCTTTCTACTGGAGATGTTTTAGTCACAGGTAGCCATGTGTTGGCGTCACAAGCATGCATCATCAAAAGATGGAAATGCATTCGCTCGTCTTATGGATCTCCGGAGCTGGCTTCCTCCTCTGAGTATAATTCATCAAGGTGCAAGGAAAGCAAAACAAGAGCAATATGAATAATGAAATGCGTGTCAGCCAAGATTGTAAAAATAGTGCAAATTCAAAGAGAACATGTTTAGAGAGACATTGAACACTTTGCATGATAATTACTGCAATGAAGCGACAACTTTGATCAGTGTCATTACAGTGGAGTGATTAAGGTATACAAACTGCATGAAAAATGAGTCGTTTGTTCCAGTAGGCGTGACTAATGTATGAAGACGAGGAGATCGTGTTTAATTATGTATTCTGTCCCAGGTAACCACGGCGATGACTTCCTGGCCCTGGGGATCAAGAGCGGCAGAGTTGTGCACAGATTTAACCTGGGTTCCGGAGTGGCCACCATCGTCAGCGACCGACTGGACCAGAGCCTGCCCGTTCACACTGTGATGTTTGGCAGGGCAAAAAGGATCGGCTGGCTCAAGGTGGGGCACTTTTTATTAGATTGTTTTAAATAATGGTAAACCAACGTAAAAATATATAAATAATGTCCATGATGGTGCAATCAAAAAGCCCCTTCTGCCCCTTCTTGTATTAAAAACAGAAAACCTCTAATGCACTTTTTACGATAGAGGATACCTGCTTGTATCTTTGGGGATGTCCTTTTACTTCTCCTGGAGAGTAAAGTATACATTTGTAGCTAAAATATCTAGCAATTCACTCCATTCAAGCAAGCAGGAAGATGTGACCATCACCAGAAAGTGTTGCTGCTATAACCTAACCTTTCAACCACAAAGTAATGTATTCATGTCATCAAATTTATGCAAGACAGAAGCTTATAGTTCCTGGCTCCAAAAACAGTTTGCTTCAGTTTTCATGTGCATGACTCTGTCACATCTTTAGATCAGCTTTTCCAAACAGAAAAGTTCAACGATTCAGCTCTTAGACTCAAAAGAAATGTAATAATCGCTTTTATTGATAATAAATATAGTATAATCATTGCAGCATCCTCATAACATCTAGAGATTGTTTTGATTATCCAGTGGGACCGTCGCTTGTATTCCATTTTTTTACTCATCACTTTGTTTTAGGATGGGCACAGATAAGTAGATCATGCTTTCATTTTGTTCCTCTAACATTGTTCCCTTATCAGAACATATCTGGAGTTGTTTTAGATGCATCTGTGTTAATATTAGGAACTCCTGGCACAAACAAGCTACTGTATAAGCTTCTGTCTCCTATAATAGTATGATGTCATTATAACACTGATAACATACAGTGCAGATTTTATTGTCCATAAATTAGTTTTGGCAAAGCATTAGTTTTAACTGGCTGTGTTTACAGGAAGATAATGTTGTTTATCCTTGATACTTGTTCCACCATATATTTTATGCTTAAGATGTTATTTCATATTCCATAACAACAAATAAAAAAGTAACACAGCGTAAAACTTAAAAATAAACATTTGCGTTGCTTTCATACAGATAAGCTGTATCTATAAACTTTGCATAGGCTCTCTTAAAGTGTCCTTTTTTCACAAAGAGATGTGATGTTGTGAATAATAGATTTAGATAAATAATGGTGGCACTTAGTTATACCAAACCATACATAGCAGCTGTATAATCCCACAGAATAATCCCTAACTCTCCCCACAACGCCTATTGGATCAACCATGCATCAGTATCGACATGACTCCGCAGGTTGACGGACAGCGCAATCGGACCGGCTCGTCGCGGGGCCCCCTGGTGGGACTGAATGTTTTCAATCAGCTCTTTGTGGGCGGGTATAATGAGTACACCCCTGAACTGCTGCCGCTTGGCTCCAGGTTCCGTCATGGCTTTCAAGGTAAGACCCGCTACAGCTTCATTACTGCACAGACAGGACTTTTTGTTGGAGTAGGAGCAGTGGAGCTTGGACTTTCTCCCGGGATCTTTGTCTTTGTGTAAGCACTAGAAAGAGAAGGGGGCAATGAAAGAGAGACACGGGTCTGGGAGAGGTGCCGAGCTGAAATAGCTTTGAGGTTGATTGTATCTTCATTCCTCTTGGCTTTTTTCATTATGGTGTTCAGTGTGTAGTGATGATTGGCATATTGATTTCACTTGGCTAGTAAGGTTTTACAGCTTTTAAGATCATGGTGTGACGTGATGTACATTATAACCAGCTTCAAATGGATTGTGCATTCTGATAACTTCAATAACAATTCGTGCTTTGTGTCTTGCTTGTTTCCCAGCTTTCTTTCTATTACTTTCTGTTCTACTAAAGCGAAAGTCAACTGTCAACAAAACATGAAAGCCACATCTATCACAGAGGCTGACACATGTTGATTTGCTTTTACTGTAATACCGTTTGGAAATATTACCGTTTTAAAATATGAACTTGCGGCTGGAAAAAGACTGAAACCAATGAACACAAGCCAGATCTGTGAAAAACAGTCATTATAATACATAAGCTATTATTAGATACTGTAGCAAAGGTGCACATTGCTTTTCTAGTTGTGTCTATGACTATATTCACAATCTGTTTCTGATTCTATAGTTAACTTGATCAGAACTCTACTTTTGACTGGCTTGCACCGAGAGCCATGGCAACATAGAGGATTCTGATTCTTATTCTGAATTAACCCATGTAATAAGGAATCATATTACTTTATAAAGCGCCCTTCACTGACAATGTCACAATTTCAATAGATGTGGGCATTTTATCCTGCCACACAGTGATGAAAGCGGGGTTGCTTATACAGGAGACACGTGCCGGAACTATTGTACCTGTTTTCAAGATAAGATAGTCCTTTTTACGTCCCACAGTCGGGAAATTTTAATGTCATCGTTGAGCACATCACAGCAGAAAGAAAGTAGGAAAAAAGGTCACACATCAAATGTATTATTTTTTAAGATTACAGATAATAAAATGAAAATGATAAAATATTAAGTGATACGGTAGTATAATAGATTAGAATAAAACTGGAGCGATAAATGCACTTGGTCCAGAGGTATTTACAGATGTGTATGTTGTACTTCAGCAGCAGGGCCAAAATGTCAGTGGTAGGGGAAACCAAAGCACACTGAGGAGACCTAGACAGACACAGGGAGAACATGCCAACTTCACTCAGAAAGGAGTTGGAATCGAACCCAGGACCTTCTCTTGAACCTTGTCATCAGCAGCATTATCTGTGCCTTCTGTCCAGTGACCTCACCATGTTGCAGCGATGCTACAGAAGCCTTATTGTGGTGACTAATGCGTGGGGCTGTATGGGCGAATCCCTCAGTAATGGAAAATGGCTATGAATATAATCATAAGTGTATTGAGCTGCTCCCTGGCTTAATAAAATGTCACGGCAAATCCATTGTAGGTGAGCAAGTGCTTTTCACATTAAGAATAATTCTACTTGTTTGGTCAAGACAGAGCTTAGCAAATAGAGGCTCAGTAATCAAATAACCCACATACTAAAGTGTGGTTGGAGAGTGCCGTGGCCCCTTTTGGTGACCAGGCGACACGGGAGTCAGTATAACCTTTTAGTTTGGATGTAATGAGAGCTCACGAGTGTCTAATCAGATCTGGGTGACCTTCCTGCAGCCCTAATCATGATGGCTGGCAGTGAGCGCACTGATAATGCACTTCACTCCCGGTTATCAACACATACACACTGGCCCCCGGAAGGATGGTGGAGCAGAGAGCAGGCCGGGAGGGAAGGGAAGACTCCACTGAGGCTGGAGAGAGGAGGGAGAGACGACTGGGTTGAGATGCCAAGGATGTGACAATTGTTCAGTATTTTTTCCCTGGAAATGAAGATTTAGTTAGAGCTGAAATCTAGTATATTTCATGCAACTTAAAATGATAAAAACAGGATACAAAATAAACAAAAATAAATAGCTTGAAAAGTGTTTGGACAAAGGATACATGTATTTGTCCCCTCTCTCGCAATCATTGTACAACACACACACGCACACACACACATTCTGAACGCATCACTCTCCTTCCTCCATGCACTTCCACAATACTATTTTTTGTAAAGATATTTGGTATATCACTATATGTTTGCACAAAAAAGGACAAAACACAGATAATAGCCTCTTCCTGTGGGCCCACCACCTGCAGGAGGATCAGGGACTGGTGCTTTGAGCTTTCGGTGCAGCTCTGATTGCCACCATGCATTTATTATATCATATCTCAATCATGTTTTTATAATGTCGACTCAAGTTTCCTTTTCTACATTTTAACATCAGAATGGTAATGGTATTGAATAAGCAATAAAATGTATCTACAATATATAAAAGTAGGAAATTTGATTCCAGCACATAAGACATTAACAGTGAGGCCCAAGATCGTACTGCTTGTATTTATGACCTAATAAATTTACTAAAACAGCTTTCTCTGTTGATTTAATTAAGTTATTACGAACTTCCATTTGGGGCACACACACACACACACACACACATTGCAATTTATATTCGGCTCAGCTGATTGAGATTCTAATTTATGTTCAGTTATTTTTTAATCAAGTATTAACTTTATTCAGCGTTATTAAGAGTAAATAAATGCTTCATATATCTCACTTTGTACATATTATACTTGGAAATGAATTGTTGAAATAAGCCCTGTCAGTTTATCTTATGTCTATGTTATATTTCTATAAAATAACTTGGGGTTTACCTTTCTGTCTGTCAATGCTATTTGCTTTATTCTTTTTAAAACAAAGTCATTTTAACATCTCCACACGAGAGTCATCTGGAGAGCAGCTTACCAGAAATATCCTGTAACTGGAGTGTGCCAAGTAGACGGCATCATGTCCTGAATATTCATCCTGTTTATGTCAGTGACAAAGCAGCAGAAATATGTTTAGCCTTTATGATAATAGAAATCTCTTCACGTCAGAATAGACTTAAGGATCTACAAGAACTCGTATGGATCTTTTGTGGGATTTTTTTGAACAATTATGTGAAATCTGAGCTTGACTTTACAACCAGCTGCAGAAGTCGGTTATTTCCCTCTTGATTTGTTTGGTTATGTGAAGCAAACGTATATTTTGGTGCTTTGTCAGATGCTGAGGGGAGCATCCTTATTTTCGGTGTAAAAGCATGTGAACTATGTGAAAACTGTGTCAGATTACGCAGTGTATCAAAAAAATCTCTTCTGCAGAGGCACAATCCCAGATCTCTGCATCTTTTGTCATTTTCCTCGCTAATGCTAGTCCGCTCTTCCCTCATCCTAGTTGTGTTTTTGATTGATTTTGAGCAATCAGGAAATCTCCCTTGATCCCGCCCACTGCCCTGTCCCTACAGTTTTTATCATATATTTACACACCTGAAGAATATGTGATTTGTGGCAGCTCTTACTGAATAGCAGCATTGAATGATGGTAGAAAGCCAAAAATTCACTGCACTTGAACAACCTTCTGAAGCTACTTTGAAATAAATAACATCAATTTCATGTTTTTTGTGTTGTTTTTGGAGACAAAAAAGACAAAGAGATTTTGTTTTGTGTGGATAAAAATCTTGCAATTAACAGTATAACAGCATACTAACTAATAATAATTTAAAAAGTTAGGTAAAGTGTTGGTTTTTTTTTTTATGCAACCAATTAAAATTACCTGAATACATTTGACCATGGATATGCCAGATCTGTGTACTTTCAAACTTTTTGACATTATCAAATTAAAATCTTAAAACCCTCTAAAGTTTGTTGACTGGAATAAAGCCGCATGGAAGGGATTAACTCAAAACACATTCAGGGAAGGTTTTTATCCTTAATCTCATTCTTAATTATATTCTTGAAAGAACCTTTGATATTTTCTAACAATGTAAGAGTTGGCTTATTTTGTACTTTGTCTGATTAATCCTTCCTCTTCTCACTTACATGCCATTTCGTGTTGTGCTTTCTCTTCAAAAGGGTGCATATTTGATGTACTATTTCGCACTGGAGTCGACCGAAAGTTGGGTGCGTTGGGATCGCCGCGGGGGCCATCCTCCTTCGGGCGCAGCGTGGGTCAGTGCGGGGTCACGCCTTGTTCCCATGTTCTCTGCGGAAACGGCGGCACGTGCATGGACTCGGGCTCATCAGTGTAGTAAGTGTAAAAACATGATTCATTTAACCCCCCTCTCGAAAAAACACCCGCAGCTACATTGTTGACGTAACTACATGCATTTATAAAAGCTATGAAGATTAAGTAATGTCATAAATCATAAATGTTGAAGGAATATTTGAAGTTTCTAAACAGATAGAAGGACCATTTCAACTGTTCTCAAGGTTATTACATGTTGAGAGTAATTCTTGCAAGATGTATTAATATAAATTAACTAATCAAAAAAGCATGAACAGTGGCCTAGTGGCGGAACATGCTGTCATTAGCCCAGATGTTCAAACGCTTCAATGCCGTGCTCTCAATGATGTAATATGATGGAAACTGCATCATGACAAAAATATTGTAAGCATGACGTATTCAGGATAGTGGTGTCAAAGAAAGAGAATAAACATATGGAGCCTGACCCCCTTTGCAACATGTTAGTACAGTCTTTGATTTGTATTTTCTGCTTTTAGCTTACTTTACATGCAACACAATCACCTTTTTGTCACAATAAACATCCATCCATCCATTTTCTTCCGCTTCATCCGTTGCCGGGTCGCGGGGGCAGCAGTCTAAGCAGAGACGCCCAGACTTCCCTATCCACACACACCTCCTCCAGCTCGTCCGGGGGGACCCCAAGGCGTTCCCAGGCCAGCTGAGAGACATAGTCTCTCCAGCGTGTCCTGGGTCTTCCCCGGGGCCTCCTCCCGGTGGGACGTGCCCGGAACACCTCCCCAGGGAGGCGTCCAGGAGGCATCCGGAACAGATGCCCGAGCCACCTCAACTGGTTCCTCTCGACGTGGAGGAGCAGCGGCTCTACTCCGAGCTCCTCCCGTGTGACCAAGCTCCTCAGCCTATCTCTAAGGGAGCGCCCAGCCACTCTGCGGAGGAAGCTCATTTCGACCGCTTGTATCAGCGATCTCATTCTTTCGGTCATTACACAAAGCTCATGACCATAGGTGAGGGAGGGAATGAAGATTGACCGGTAAATCGAGAGCTTTGCCTTTCGGCTCAGCTCCCTCTTCACCACAACGGTCCGATACAGCGACCGCATCACTGCGCACGCTGCACCGATCCGCCTGTCAATCTCACGCTCCCTTCTTCCCTCACTCGTGAACAAGACCCCGAGATACTTGAACTCCTCCACTTGAGGAATAAACAATAAACATCAAACTGAAAAGACAACTTTGCAGCTTATAAACTGCACATTGCTGTTTTATGATGCCCTAAGTTTTTGAAATGTTAGTACAAATTGTGTGCAAAATGGAATCTTGACATAACAGATATTAGTTGTTTCTCATAAAGACACAACTAGAATTTGATTTGCCCATCTAAATAAAAGCCAGCTTAATATCAGCGCATTTTTGGACACTCAATTACTTCACATGATAAGATAAAATATACTTTATTGATCTCACACAGGAGAAATGTACATGTCACATTTACATTATTGTCATATTTCATTCACGCTACACACAGTGGTGCCCTGAGGCACACTGTAAGAAGGCAACCAGTATGTGCCATGAGCCCCTCCGATCACCACCAACCATTCACACACGCACACTAGACTCATTCTAGGCAATGTTGGTGAAGTGTCTTGCATAAGGATACAATGACAGGTTGGCACTTTACAGCCGCAGCTGGCCCACTGTAGCACCTGTTGTTTCCAGAGGTCTCCCATTAGAGTAGTGATCAGACCTTGCCCTGCTTAGCTTTAAAGGTCACACAGAATCTGACTTACAAATGCTGGTGGATCAGAATACAGTACTCTGATTGGACCATGTAACAAAATACATTACGAAATACAGATTCAGATTCAGATTCATTTTATTCGCCATTTGCAGTAACACTACATTGGAATACATTAGTAAAATTTCCCAGTGTGCACAGGACAAGTACAGACATAAAACAACATTAAAAGACAAAAATAAAACAAAATTTAAAAACAGTAAACAAATGTCACTGTGAAGTTGACCAACTAAAACAGATCTATACTAGTGCAAAAACATTAAAGTGCTCTATTCAAACTGATAACAGCTCGTGGAAAAAAACTATTAGCATAACGAGATGTCCTGCATCTCAGAGAACAGTATCTTCTGCCAGAGGGAAGAAGCTGGAACAAGGCTTTTCCTGGGTGGCCAGAAGAGTCATTGATAATTCTCAGGGCACTGTTAAAAAGTCTGGATTGATAAAGAGCCTCCAGGACAGGAAGTTCACAGCCCACGGTCCTCTTTGCAGAGCGGAGCACCTTGTTTAAAGCTCTCTTTTCTTTATCTGCGATGTTACCGAACCACACAGACACAGAACCAACAAGTAAACTCTCAATGGTGCAGCGATAAAAGTTCAGCAGAATCTTAGAGTTAGTGGTAAATTCTCTAAGTTTCCGCAGGAAGTAGAGACGCTGACGAGCTTTCTTTACGACCCGGTCAGTGTTTTTAACCCATTTAAGGTCGTTAGACAGAGTTAGACCCAGAAACTTACACTCCTCTACAATCTGCACTTGGGGGTTTGAGTTATTGAGTTATCGATTGCGACAGGCAAATGAGAACTATTGCGACTAAAATCAAAGACCAGTTCACATGTTTTGGATGCGTTCAGCTGGAGGTTGTTAGCCTTACTCCACTGAACCACGTTTTGGATCTCGGCTCTATAAGACGATTCATCGTTATTACTGATGAGACCGATGATGGTGGTGTCATCAGCATATTTAAGGATCAGGTTAGAGTCTGAGGAAGACACACAATCATGAGTGTACAGTGTAAAAAGTAAAGGACTCAAAAAAAATACATCCCTGAGGAGATCCAGTGCTCACAGAAACAACATCTGAAAAACAGTCATTGATTTTCACTCTCTGAGATCTGTCTGTTAAAAAGCTATATATCCATTTACACATGGCAACACTTAAACTGAGAGACATGAGTTTTTCAATCAGTTTACCTGGGACAAGGCAATTAAAAGCGACAATTAAAAAGCAATTAAAATACACTCTAATACAGGTATTTTGGGATTGAATATGTTTGTAAAGATGTCTCCCCTTCACTGTTTGCAGTTTGCCTCTGTCTGTTAATTAACACACTGTTTGTGATGCAGTTGCCAGTGCCCGTTTGGCTGGAAGGGGGCGCTGTGCACAGAGACTGTGTCAGTGTGTGATGTGGAGCACCGACCCCCTCCTCTCTGCGCCCCCCGCTCCACGTGCATCCCTCTCCCTCACGGATACACCTGCAACTGCCCCCTGGGGACCGCGGGCCTCTACTGCGACAAAGGTCACCCCAGTGCACAGCATGCTTTTAAACTATAATCTCACTGTTTAATTATAAACTGTCTGTGTTCGTTGGGGGCTCCTCAGCTGTGACCATCACGGATCCATTCTTCAGCGGGAACCATTCCTCGTGGATGTCCTTCGCCCCTCTGAGACTGAGGCACAGCACTGTCCTGGAGCTGCAGTTCCAGCCTTTGGCACTAGATGGCATCCTCGTCTACACAGCTCAGCATCTCAATACAAGAGCAGGTCAGGAACACATGAAACAGTCTATGGTGTCTTCTCGAGACCTTAGGGAGGATGCCCACATGTTCTGTTAACCCCAGACAGATCCGGTTAAACGCTGAGTCCCATAGCACCGCAGATAATGTTTCCCACATCTTATTGTTTAGTGTTGTCAGAACAAGTTTCGAGTTGTTACCATTTCTGATCAATGAGACACAATATTGAATAGTGGGCCGTACTTTTCCCTATTGTTCTATATTTAGGAGTGTTTAGGATATGCTCGACATCCATACCTTTTGATAATACATAATAAATATTAATACATCAAACTTATACAGTGCTTTTTTGGACATTCCAAAGACACTTTACAAAACATATACAAAAATACACTAAAGAACGAAATCAAACCTGATTAATAACATTCAAATAATATATACATTTAGGTCTAATGTTTAAAGTTAGAGGTGCATTCCTCAAATGTCCAATACCGGTTTAGTGTTACTGCTATGTTATTGCTATAAATATTGCTCAGTTTGGTTTGAAACTTGTACAGTCCTAAATTATTAATGATTTTAGAGCTTGAAAAAGTTAAAATGTTGCCTGTCCAAATGTAACTTGTAACTTAAGATGAGTAAATTGTTTTTTTCCAACGTAAACAAAGTGTCATGACAAACTGAATTGTGAATAGTCATGCATGGGTTTGTCCCACTCACAGGAGACTTCTTCTGTCTGTCGCTGACTTCGGGCCACGTCCAGCTGAGCTACGATCTGGGAGATGGTACGCACATCCTCCGGTCTGCTGGCCGAGTGGACCCCAGCGGGAGAGTCTGGCACAGGGTGAAGGCAGGAAGGATCGGCTCTCGCGGCTTCCTCAGTCTGGATGACGAGGAGATCACACAGAACCCCACGGCTCGCCGCATGACCACCCTGGACGTTGAAACTGACTTATTTGCCGGAGGGGTCTCTAGTTTAAGCTCTGTTTCGTCTGATGCAACTGAAGGAGCGCCAGTGGGGTTCACAGGCGGTTTGAGGGAGCTTATTGTTAATGGTCTGGACTTGGACTTGTCCGAGAGGGGGGCTGTGAGTGGGGAAAATGTGGGGGACTGGGATGGTACGGCGTGTGGGTACAAAGTGTGCCAAAACCAGGGGCGATGTAGTCCAATCGGCACGGACTCTTTCATGTGTGTGTGCCCGCCTGCCTGGACGGGGCCTCTGTGTGACCAGTCTGTGGGGTGTGAGAAACATGACTGCAAACATGGTTCACTTTGTTCTGCCGAAAATTCCACCTCCTATCACTGTTTGTGTGCTCTAGGATGGACAGGGAGATTCTGTGACATTGAAATGTCAACAGATACATTCCGTTTTAGGGGAAATTCTTACATCAAGTACACCGATAAGAGATACAACACTAGAGATTTAAAATACACCCAGATTTTCTTGAGCGTTCTCGCCAATAGGAATGATAGCTTGATTATGTGGATGGGGAAAGCAGAGCATGAAAATGAAGACTATCTTGCAATTGGGCTTGAGGAAGGGAAACTCAAAATTGCAGTAAATTTAGGAGAAAGGCTTCCTGAACCTCTACGTTTAAAAACTACAAACCTGTGCTGCAATAAGTGGCACAATATTTCTATAACATTGAATAGGACAGTCATTCAGGTTTTCTTAAATAATAATAGCATTATTCATGAAAATATTGAGCCATTTGAGAGATATGTAGCATTAAATTATGGCGGTACAATTTACTTTGGAGGATTTGAACTTGGCAGAAATACAACAGCTGTGACATCTGGTGTATTTGACAAAGGGTATGATGGTAGTATCAAAGATGTTTATTTGTATAATGACATCAAGCCAGTGCAGTTTTTCTCAATTAGCGAGGGTTTTAATGTTTATGACGGCAACAACAGTCGATAACTTTGACCACAATGCTAATAAAGCTGGCACCATTAGTTTATTGCCAATAAAAAAAATGCGTTGGGTGCTGTTAAATTGATACGACATTGTGTGTATGTTCTTTTTCTAGATACAACAAAATAAACTTTAGTGATAAATTAAATAACCTATGTTAAACAAAATACAATGATCTATTTTTTGAAAGATTTTTTAAAGCCTGACAAAAAAAGAATTGGCTTTATTACGAACTGTACATAGACGGACAGTGCAAAGGACACTTCATTCCTCATGTATTTTACAAACCTAAATGTACATGTCTTTATAAAGATGTTTAAAAATATTTAAAACAAAGCCACTGTTAAAATGCCAAATAAGAGTCAATACAGTGGTCTACAGGTGGCTTTCAGTCTGGAAGTGTTGCTTCGCTCTCAGCACAGCAGCTTATGAACATATATACAAAAGCTTAAAACCAGGGCAAAACCAAACATTGAGGCTTAAAATCCATTTTGTTGAAAACTGAAATGATATCTCGTTGAACTGCCAAATACAAAAACAGTTTTAAAAGGGAAATCAAATGTTTCATTCCTGTGAGCAAAGAGTTTCAGTCATTTTAAAAACATTACGAGTAGCTGTCCTTTGAACTTCTTCGACCGTTGTCGTAGTCAGAGTCCCGCTTGTGTCTGTGGCGGTCCTTGTGTCTGTGCTCGTCGCTGTGATGACGCTCTTTCCTCTTCTCGCTGTAGCGCTCGTCCGAGTGTCCATGGTGCCGACTTCTGTCCCTGTACTTCTCGTCATAGTTGCGGTCGTGTTTCTTCTCGCGCTCACGGTCATGATGGCGACTCTTCTTTCCGTGGTGAAGGTCCCGGTGATGGCGCCTCTCGTGGTGGTCGCTGCTGGAGCGGCCTTCACTACGGTTGTACTTGGAGTGTCCAGACGAGTCTTCTGAAGAAAGCGTGGCACTGGAGTTCTGCTCCTGCGTGTCAGCGGTGGAAAAAGCCTCTGAGGCAGATGGGTAGTCGTAGCTGCCTGAACCCTGAGGCTCTTCAGTGAGAGTCGTGTCACTGCTCTGATGGTCAGTAAGCTCTGTAGCTTTGGAGTATGGTTCCAACAGAGGTATTTCAGTGACAAGTTCCTGTACTACAAATGGATTGAGATAATCTATATCATCCGTTAAAACGCCATCTTCATCCCCATTTGTCTCTTTTGTGACTTTCTCGTCTACTTTTACAGGTGTTGCCAAAATAGAGGGCTCTATCAGATCACTTCCAGTCACACCAGAAACAATTTTAACAGCTTGTGTTTCTTCAACTTTGTCCTTTGATAGCACTTCAGCTGTACCTTCATTTTCACATTGAGAATATGCAGAAGATTTTTTCAATATTCCACTGAGAAGTTTAGTGACATCTACAGTAGTCGAGGCGTTTTGAGACTCTGCATTTGTAGATTTGTTTGCATCCTTTACAACAGCTCCAGCATCTCCTTTATCTGACCTGCTTTGCTCTGAGGACAAACTAGCTAGGAACACTTCAGTAGACACATCTGGAGGCTTATCCTTCAGCGTTATGGTTGAATTCTGACTCGCAGAGGCTGTTGAATCTGTTGATGGGACACATTTGGCGGACACCATCGGTCCAGGCATTTCCATCTCAACCTTTGCAGGTTTTACCTCTTTCTTCTTGATGAGGAAGCGATCACGTGAAATAGCTACAGCAGGTGTGGGGCTTTTCAGAGAGTTTCCAGATGCTTCTGTTTTCGCTGCCTGGTTGGGCGTCTTATTTGTGCCAGCTGAAGATTTCCCAAAAACATCTGGCAACGGTGGAAATATCCCACCCCGACCGAGTAGTACACCTGGCAGAAAGTGTGGCTTTTTGGTTCCCTGATTGTTCACCTCCTCTGTAGCAGGAGGGTCCTCAAATGTCAATGGCTCATCTTCATCTTCGTCCGCATCTTCAGTAGTGTCAAGTGGTTTGTCCTTTTCTTTTGCAAGAGGCCGGGTCAAACTAGAAAGGTACAACTTCTCATCCTCCTCTTGTGAATATTTTTTGTCTTTTGATGACACTGAACTGTGCTTGTCTTCTGGAGCAGGTTTTGATTCACTTTCCACAGACATATAATCTCTCTTTGGTCTCTGCCGTATTATGAGTCCAAGAAGAAGATTTGGACGGTTGCTTTCCAAGCCTGTAGAACAACGACAATCAGCAAAGGGTTTTAAGTTAACATAAACAGAATATTGATAAGAAGAATATTGAACATTTACCTGGTCCATCAAACGGTACCAGCTGATGTGGAATTTTCTCAGTAGCACCCAAAGGTATGACATACATATCCTTCACTTGTTTTGAGTTATTAGACACCACACCAAAGCGTTTTCGGCTGCTGAAGTAGGCATAGAGTAGAGTGTACGAGATCTCATCTTCTTCAGTCTCTGGGGAGAACCGGATGAGGCACACCTCCTACAACCGGTCAAGAGAGTGAAAGTCAGGACAAGATAAGGCTGTGGACCACTGTGTTTTCCATGCCAAGTTCAGAAAATATATTTCAACCTAAAAGACTTTTTCTAGATACAAGAAGGAGTATTAGTCATATTTACAAGACACTTACTTTGGTTCCAGTAGCCCGAATCTTTTCCAAATAATCCCACACAATATGTGGACCAATCCTCCCACCAATTTGGATACTATCTGGTAGATCCTACAAAAAGAAAAAGTACAATTCAAACATGAACTTAAAGAATATGACAAACTGAATGCACAACTTACTTCAGTCAAATGGTCTAAAATGCCAGAAACAGGAAAGGCCTTGGTAACAAGTTTTGCCACAGCAGCCATGTGAAGAAATCCACGCCACAAAGACTTTAAGCCAGCCAGGAACAGAGCAGTGTCATCCTTTGGTGCCGAAATGTCCAGTCTGTAACAGCATGATTATTATAGTAATAATCTTAAACAGTTAAATATATGTAAAGCCTCTGAGTAAAGTGAGTATGTACTTAGCGGCGTAGCCAGATTTGACATTTTGAAGACTCTCCTCCAGGGCACTGAGGTGGAGGTCCTCATCGACACCAGGCACAGAGCTGCTCTTGACCTCTTCGGCTTTAGTGGATTGTCTCCTAATCACAGTCGTGGCAACTTTCACCACTTTAGTCTGAGCCTCTTCCACAGGAGGCGCCATACGACCTGGTGGCGATTAAAACCAAATTTGAGAAAAGGATACTTAATTACAATAGAAATTGAAGCGTTTGGAGACGTACCTGTGCAGATTTTGCAGTGCAGGTCAAATAAGTGGGACTTGTGTTGTGCTGTGGTATCCCTCTCCAATGGGCAAATTTCCTCTTTCTTTTCTGGACTTAGTACTGGCTCCGACAAGGGCACTGGCGTTTCTTTAGGAGGCGGCAGAGGCTTCTAAGAAAGAAAAGGTTATTCTACTTGTACATTTGCGCAGATAAATATGATGATGATGATGATGATTTGATCTCGCACTCACCTCTACAGTCTCGGGTGCCTTCACTGGTTCAAGGCTCTCGATTTCAATTTCACCTTTGTGCGTTATCTTTGTGATCGGACGCCTCTCTACCTCCCTTTGCTCTTTCTCAATCATTTCAATTGTCTACAAAAATGTCAAATGCAATACATTTTAGAGACAACTAAAGGTCACTAGCATAAAAAAGTATTACTTACATGTCGATTTTCTCTTTGTCGCCAAGCGGCCAACTCCTTTGAGGCCAATTCTTCCGGACTCATTCGAATAAGGTTACCAGGAGAAATATCCCCCTTGAGGACTTTTTTGAACAGAACCTGATGGAAACAACACAATTTAGCTAATCCTCTCATAACATTGTCTGTAATTAACATTTCTAAACATTTGAGGCAACCTACATTGTTCTTTGTATCCTTAAGATTGAAGGTTAAACTTCTGTACTTGTTTTTGTATTTGCTGTCCGTGTCTTTGTACAAGTGAAACAGCTCGCGTTCAGTTTTCTTTGCAATTTCATGAGCCTTCTCCACACTGACATTCAAGTTGGACTCTTTCAACCTAAAACATTACCAAATAAAAGTTTAAAACAGGAAGTTTTCGGTTAGGGATTAAAATATAATAACTTCATGAGCTGTACCTCTGTGTAAGAATTTCTTTCAAGGTATCTCGCACGCTTCGTCTGATTTGTTCCACAGACACAGGCTTCTTCGAAGATGAGGCATTACTACTTTTGACATCTTGTTTTGAATAAAAGGCTGCAGGAAGTAACTAGTTAGCCAGTAATTGTGAATAAACAACTGTAAACAATCTTCAAAAATCATACCAGGTTTAAGATCTGCAGATAGGCGTCGATCAGGCTCCTGTTCAAACAAACATAAGTCAATTTTCCACCAAACACAGATAATAATAGAAAAAAGAATGGGGTGTACAAAGAGCAAGATAGATGAAACTTTGTTTTCATTTGACT